TTTCTTGACTCGATGTTTCCTAGTGGATGGTTTTTTGGTTTTTCTTCCTGCAGCGCGAATTTTCTTTTTCTTCTTCGTCACTTTTTTGCTCTTCTTCCCTGTGCTACTTCTCGATGATTTTTTTTTATTACCCGACGTCGTTTACGAAACGCGATACGACTATTCCGACCTCCGAATGGAAACTGAAGTGCTGCGGACTTTGCGGATATTTTATATCCCGACCACCTCATCAGGGAACTTATATTTTCTTTGGTTTTTCTCTTCAGATTACCCCTAGATTCCGCGAACCGACTTTTGACTACTTCCTTTAACGGCTTATTATTTTCGACGTCTTCTTTTTTACGTTAATTTCCACACGTAAAGCTTCTTTTCCAACAGCACGTGCACCTTTACCTAGGTAAGGTAATATTTTTCTGAATAGTCCACCGAGAAAGATTCCGATTCCATGTCCGCGTTGATAGGGCGAACCGACGAAAACACGTGGAATTCCACCTCGGCCAACCATGTCCCGCGCATCAAAATACTCCTCATACTCCATAGCTAGCTTCTAACTAAAGACTGTCACTATACCGACACGCTCGCGTACACGAAAGAAAGTCATTGCTTACGTTTAAAGTGCAGTGTCACTGTCAGCGTTCCAAATCCAAATGGAATTTTTTTTCCAAAATGATCTCTTATATCTATTTCGATCGTTCTGAAATTTGTTCGTCGCAGTGAGATATAATTTGGAAATGAAAAATACTTCACCAAATTTGCACCAAATGCGTAATTATGGTTGCGTATCTCGACCGGAACTATCTTGAGAAGAGGAGTACGTACATCACCTGTTATATAAAGCTCACAATTATCGCAATAAACAAACATTTTATCGGGGATACCGCGCCACAAACTATAGGATTCGCTACTCCAGTAAACGTCTGCAAGTCGTTTTCCCGTCTCCTCATTAAGTCCGTGAGTAAGAAAAGTTTTCTCTTCTGTTTCATTGGAATTACGTTTAAGTACCGCGAGCTTGGAATAAAATGGATGATTATTTGTGGAAATTGCTGATGAGAAACCTAGCATTCGTAGAAGATTATCGGAAAAGTTTAAATGATGTAGCATTTTGCACTTCTCGTTGCAGTTATTACTTATCATGACTTTACCGCCAGACGCTTTTTGCAGTTCAAAATAAAAATGCGATTTGGCAAGTTTACACGCAGTATTAATCGCATCGATAAGCTCATAGATATCGCTGTAAATTCCATTTGAAATGCAATTTCTTTCGCCGTAAACCTTTCGTCCCCTTATCGGGTTTAACATTGACGAATCTGATCACATTTTCGTTATGACGTATGTGTAAAAAGGTACAGGGAAATTGAATCTCGGTTATCGCAACCTCCCATTGTCCGTGTAACACGATGGAGTGAGGTAATTCCGTGATGAAGGACGAAGTTGTATTATCCCAAAAATGACGCATACTGCTATTACTCGGAGGTACCAGAAGAAATTGTTCCTCCTCCATTGCGAAGAGAAATTAAACTCGAAGCCGGAATCCAACTATCAAAATTACAATTAGCAAACGTGGCTTTCAACAAAACAAAATTCAAAAAATGAGCATTTGCCACACACTGGATGTTTTCAGTGAAATAATTTATATATTAATTGATATGCATGTATGCAGTTTTTAATACGATACATATAATAAAAAAATGCCATAACAATCAACAATACAATAATAAACGTTTCGGCCTTTAATATGGCCTTCTTCAGTATAACTTGCTGTTTCAGAATATAATTCAATTATGTGTGTACACCATTATCAATACATTAATTCTATTATTAAAGTAACAAGAATATCACATTTTGTCAATTTAAAAACCCTTAAAATCTTTGATTATAATCTTATATACAAGTAATCCGTCATATAAGAGTCAGTTTAAAATTCAATTTCAATTGCCGCATATGAGATTGTCAGCGATTGTTCCTTTACATATAATATAAGGGGATGCTGGACTGAAAATTGTCGGTAATTTTGCAGTTTGATTTGAATCTCCGAATTTACTTAACGGAATCAAAAATCCTTTTACAGGATTAAAATAAATGCAAAATTCTATCGTGGTAGTATACATTAGTACAAAAATCGGAAGAAAAGTTAAAAACTTACATTTGTTCAACACGTAGAGCTGTCAACTGATATCGATATTTCCTTAATTATAGCTCGTATGGACCTAATGATAGTCTACTACTCA